AATTCCTACTATAAGAGTCTTGTCCCTCTCCACCGGGGGCAGTGCCGCCGCACGCGCAGTCGCCGCGCGAGAGGCAAGCGAGACGCCCGCCGTGCGCGTCGTGCGCCCGCTGCGCGACGTCCCGGCACGCGCAGTGCTGCGCTTCGCGCGCGATGAGATGCCCGGGGTGGCGTTCCACGCGCGCTCGGCCGCAGGCGTAGTCGGGGTGTACAAGAAGGGGCTCGCCGATGTGGTGGAGAGGTTTGTGGAGGCGGCGGGGGACGCAAATGTGGCCAGCGTGCACAATGTTGTGAAGACGGCAGATAGGTTGTGTGAAGCGGGCGGCGAAGGGTGGTGTGAGGCGTGTGGCGGAGTTGCAGCGGGGGAGCTTTGCTTTGGGTGCCAAGAGGCGGCGAGGAGGGCCGCTGGGACGGAGGCGGTGTTGAAGGTGCGCAGGGGCGGGGCTGTCGGGATGGAGGAGATGCGGAAGTGCGTGGAAGAGTTTTTGTTGTGAGGGCGGGGGAATGCGATGTGGGCATCGACAAATGTACAGCACTGTAAGCGAAGAAATGTATGCTGACAGTAAACTGAGGTGGTCCGTGACGGATACCAGAAGGATACCAGAAGGATACCAAAAGGATACCAGAAGCGAGCGATGTGCAAAAATACAGTGCACTTTTCATCCGTCAATCCAGACCTCCCTGGCACACATGTCTACACGCCTCTGCCACCGCCCTCCGCGCCACTTCTTCCCTCCGCCCTACTCGTCTACGCCCAGCCTCTGCCCTCCCCCCGACCACCAGTCCGTCCTCCTCCCATCCATCCCACTTCTCTCCGGCACTTCCCCGTCAACATGGTCCGCTTCCTCCGCTACTGGATCGAGCAAAACATGGAGTCGCCAGAGTCCATAGAGCGCGCCGCGCAGAAGCACATCGAAAAGGTACGCGCCCTTCCACAGCCTACACCCGCCCCGCCATAACTCGCCGTCGCCCACTCACACCTCTCCACCCCACACACCCCCACCCCGCCTCCTCCCAGATGTCCGAGGGCAGCGTCAAGCTCCGCGACCGGTGGGACAAACCGCCGAAGCCCGCGGGCTACTGGAATGCCCCGGCCGTCACCAGGTCCACCACGCTCAACAACGCCCGCGCAGAGGCCGAGCTGCTCTCGCCTTACGCGCGTCTGCTGCGCGAGATGGACGACGCGCGTAGCTTGGCCGACCGAAAGTAGCCCGATCCTCGCCCGCTTGCAACCGCCGCCGTCGTGCGCCGCTATAAATTATCTCGCGTTTTACTGCTTCGCGCCCGTGGCGAGAACAACCACATCGCGCCCTCGCCCACTCGTTTCCGCACTCTTGCTGCAGCCTCGGCCCCACGCCGCCGCATGCTACCACTTTGCCAGTAGGACAATACAAAAACTCATACAGTACACAACCAAACCCCCAACAACAACCGCGCCCCTAAAACTTGAACTTGACGCGCGGATCCCTATCGATCGCGGCGTAAACGTCGTATATTTGGCTTGCGGTATTCACCGGCGCCTTGAGCGTGATGGACCTGAACTTGCCCCTGTCGCGGTAGCTAGTCTGCACGAACTTCTTATCGGTCTCCAGCGCGAGCGCGACGCTGTCCACGATGTCGCCCATGAAGTCGCCCTGCGCAACCCCAACCACCTTGAACGTGAACACGCACGGGAAGTCCACCAGCTCGTCGAACACGCGCCCGCCGCCCTCGGAGTCGTTGTTCCCCGTGTTGTTGTTGAAGTTGTTCGGGAAACCGCGGATCATGCTCGACGCCAACCGCCGCCGCGGCACGTCGCCCGCCACGCGCGAACGCCGCCGCAGAACGGGCGTCGTCAGCCCCGCGCGCGAGGAGCCCAAGCGCAGCCCCGAAAGGCCGCCGCGCACAAATGCCTGCATTCTTGACACCGCTTCGCGCCTGTGCCGAGGAAGGACTCGCCTTGACGAGGTGGTGCTGCGGAAGGAATTAGGTATCGCGTCGGCAGGCTTGCGTTGGAGATCACCGACGGCAGACTCTACGTCGATGGTCTGTCGGTACCGTAGGCCTTTGGTGGGGGGACGCCTGTGTTGGGACTGACGTAGGAGCCTTTTTTGACCGAAGATTTTGGGCAGCTATCCATCCACAAAAATATACATGAAAAAAAAAAAACATTTTTGAAATAAGTTGTGGTCACGAAATCACTTGGTGTTAACAACAAGACTCTGCTTTCAACTTCTTTCGTAGCGAGTGCAGCATATTCGGTACCTCCTTGACCACGTGATTGCTGCTTGTTATCCCCACGAGTTCCGTGGTTATTTAGGGAATAGGCTGCTTTCAAGCCGCTTAGAAACTCACGTGACGAGTGCGCGCTGGGGCACCATGCCTTTCTCGTGAACAAACCAGAGTGGGTCCTTGTAATTAAGAACACATGAACTTGTGCTACATTGCTTGTTCTCAAAGGCGGTTCCTCTTCAGAAACTCGTAAAGAGTGCTCTCCAAAAGGAGCATATTCAGACTTTTGGAGGATTCTGTTTGCCTCCCCTGAGTTATTCTAGTTATCCCATTTCTTTCCTTTAGCACATGCCAAGTTTCGACTGCTGCGATCTAGGCACGGCATCCATTGAAATGATGAGTGCGCTTCAAAACTGCGTCGCTTGAATCAGCTTTTGTGGGTGAAATCGGTTCCCTGTAACGGCAACTCGCAGCAGCTCTTCCGGCGTCTAGCCTGCGCCTATGAGTTCACTGGGCGCTATCACAAGAATTGAGGTACCATACGGTCAGCACCCCCAGCATTAGATGCCATCATAGCGCACGTCAGTTTACCCTTCTTCCACTATGTGTCGTAGTGAGTTCAAGTGGGTCTGAGGCAACCTGCTTAAAGGAAACCCCTTCACACAAAAGGATGGGTATGGACTGACGTTCTCACAAGACGCACATGTTTGATCGCCAGAGCGTCTAGCCTGTGCCTATGAGTTCACTGGGCGCTATCACAAGAATTGAGGTACCATACGGTCAGCACCCCCAGCATGAGATGCCATCATAGCGCACGTCAGTTTACCCTTCTTCCACTATGTGTCGTAGCGAGTTCAAGTGGGTCTGAGGCAACCTGCTTAAAGGAAACCCCTTCACGCAAAAGGATGGGTATGGACTGACGTTCTCACAAAACGCACATGTTTGATCGCCAGAGGGGGGGGTGTCTGATTAGATATTTATATTTTTTTGGCTTTTTTTGGCGGGATTCGCATTTGTCTTGTTGTTGCCTCTGTGTACTTTTTGGCGGACTCAGGGACGCGATCTAATGACGCGATATGGATCAAAGCTGAAAGGTGGCGTAGGCTTGATGAGCAAATGGGGCCGTGGAATATTCCAAAGACGGAAGGGGGTTACAAGTGGGTCAAGACAAGAACAAAGAATAAACTAACTTATTTGGGCATCTCAAGGCTCCTTGACATACACGCCGTCCTTCCCGGCGATAATAACGGCGGACGACATGCCCAAGAACAGGCCATGCTCGACGACGCCCACAAGCGAGTCAAAGTCCTTTCCGGCCTGGACGGGGTCTCTAATGGGCTTGTCAAAGTAGAGATCGACGATATAGTTGTGATTATCAGTGACGTACGGGGAGGTGCCAGCGTCGTCCATCCTGAGCTTGGCCGTGCAGCCCTTGACGCTATCCAGCTCGACGAGTCTCTTCAAGTTAAACTGTGAGCTAAACGGGGTGACCTCGACGGGCATAGCGCCGCTGATGCCCAGGCCGTCAACGAGCTTACTCTCATCGACAATGACGATAAACTTCTTCGCCTGTACCTCGACCATCTTCTCCCTCAACAGCGCGCCGCCCCTGCCCTTGACGAGGTTGAGGTGCGGGTCGACCTCGTCCGCGCCGTCGATAGCGACGTCCAGGACGGGGTGCGTGTCCAGGGAGACGAGGGGGATGTCGAGCGCGACGGCCTGGTCGCGCGTGCGGACGCTGGTGGGGATGGCGACGACGTCCGTGAGCTGGCCCGACTTGAGCTTCTCGCCGAGGCGCTCGACGGCGAAGTAGGCCGTGGAGCCGGTGCCCAGGCCGACGACCATGCCGGACGCCACGTGGTCGTCCACGGCCTTGTAGCCCGTGAGGCGCTTGAG